GGCCCGAGCCGACCCAGGCTGGAAACGCCGGGGGGGGGGCAGCCTGGGCCGCGCCTCCTCCCTCCACACCCCCCCTTACCTGCTTCAGGCTTCTCGTGAATCAAATGTTCGCGGGAAGCAGGGGAGGGGGTGGAGACTTTGGGGAGGGGGCGGAGTTGGGGCATGGGCGGGGCTGGGGTGGGGCCGGGGGCCCGTGGAGTGTCCTCCTTTCGGAGGCACTAAATATGGTAACCCTATACCAAAGGAACAATACACACTTTATAAACAGCACCACTGGCCATGCATAATTTATTATAAGCTCATTGGAAGCAGCATTCATTTGAACCTTCAAAGATCTGCAGTACCTCCAGCAGACTTTGTAATATAATGCACTAAAAACAAATACAGCTATGTCCTGTTATTTAAAAAATAATGGATTTTCACCAACACAAAAAAACCTTTGATAGGTATTAAGTTTCAGCTAAGTTCGCTAGTTAAACTTAACATTCCTTGCTATATCTATAATATGATATTACCAAAGCACCTAGAGCTAAGATAGGGACCCCATTGTGCCAAGCACTGTACAAACACACAGCCAGAGACAGTCACTGCCCTGAAGATCTTAAAAATCTAAATACACAAGACAAAAGAGAAAGAGGTCAAACAGGAAGTCTGTGGTACAGCTGGGAACTAAACCCAGGTTTCCTTCACTCCAATCTTATGCATTAACCATAGAAGCAGTACCTCTTTGTTGTTGTTAAAAAAAAATCAGTCTTCAAGACAGCAGTAATATAAAGCAATTTCTAGTGATTAATGTCTTGTTACATCAGAGAGACCAACTTTTCAGAAAGAAAATATGTTTTTCACATCTAGCGTGTGAAGATCCATAGTTGGGATGTTAGATAGCAGGATTGAACAGGTATTTGGTCAAGAAGCCAAGTCAAGAAACAACTTTGTAATTGTGTGAATAAAGTCCCAGACAGCAGCTTTGCATATCTCAATAATGCAAACATTCCCGAAACACACTGTAGAAGCTACTTTGATGATGGTAGGCTGTGCTCAATCTTCAAGTACTGTGATACCAGCAAGGTTACAACAGATCTGTAAAGAAAGTTTGATTCACTCAGGCTATCACCCTAGAATGCAGATCTGTTCTGACAGTATTACTAAGAGAAAGAAGGATACTTATCAGTAAGTCTAGCTCTTGTACATTGCCAATACAGATCCATATGCTTCACTACTCATCCTCACTTCTTGGTGTCTAAACAGTGGAAGAACTAGAGTGCTTTCCTTTTTACACTCCATAATTATACAAGAGAAAATGGAGAGCTAATGACATCATTCTACATTGTAACAAATTCTGACCTTACTATGGTTTTTAACCAATCTGCTCCTGTTCGTTACAAAATGATAGAGCTTGCTTTTCTATTGATGAATGCAGAGTACAGCGTTAAGTTTCAAACAGTCGTTGTATCCATTCAGAAAGAGGAGGAACTTCTCTGCCCACTTTTAAAATTCATATTTGGATAGAGAGGCCATTACACAGCAGGGTTTTTGTTTTTGAAATGAGGGGAAATTCTGTAAAAACAAAGATCCAAACTTTACATAGGTGTAAGAAGTGAAGTAATATACCGGGTACTCAAATTTGTCAAGTGTCTTAGAATTGTTTTGTAGATTACCCTGTCACAGATTAACCTGAAAGGGTACATGAGCGCATCTACAATTTTATTTGCTTCATATTAAGTACTTTCATAATGCATCATTCAGATTTAAGTTATTCAGCACACAGTAATCCATAACAGTTACTGAATACATAATGCAATAAAGTGATCCTAGTTACTATTAAAACTACTTATGAGATTCCTATAAACTAGGCATAATATGAAAAAGGATATTATAAATGTGTATGTTATTACCCTTCAAATGGTAGTCAGTTTTTCTGGGTCTTGATGGAATAAAAACAACTGAGGAGAGATTATAGAGGTCTATAAAATCATGAATGGTGTGGAGAAAATCAATAAGGAAGGGTTATTTACCCTGTAGTAGGGTCCTCAGTGGGCTGAGTCAGGCTGTAAGTGTTGGCTATATTATACTGAATTTCTTTTACTACTACTCCCATAGATAAGGCCCTGAGTTCCGAACTAGACAACGAGCCATGGCTGCTGCACAGTGATACCGGTATCTGTTATTGGATTACAGTGCCCAAGAGAATACTAGGTGAACATATACGCATTACAGCAACACATAAAAGGGGAGATCCCCAAAGAGCTTACAATCTAACTATGCCTGAAAATTATATTAAATATGCTTTTTGAACTTCAACTGTATTTATTGTTTTATCTGGGGGAGAAAAAGATTAATGGGGACCAGGACCCAGTCATGTTATAACACATTATTTCTCATGCTAGTCAAATAGGTTCTGTGATCTGAATGAGGACCCTGTGTAGACACCACCCACCATCATTCCTGTTGATACCCTTGAGCTGTGAATCAGCTGGATCAGCTATACCAGTGACTATATCAAGTTTGGACTGCATAGGGTCCTCAGAACTATGCTAGAGGAGCACATTGCAGAGCATTTTCCTATCCTGACAGAAAGAAGGGAGGGAGATAAAAGCCAAGACAGTTGTTGCAATTGAACCCTCCTTTCAAAGAACAGTATACTGTACGTGAAACATGTTCTTAACTGTGCTGTTCATGAGCGCTGCTTTGGAGGCTAGTCCCAGTCAGCTGTTGCAGGCAATGGGTGTGTAGAATGCTGGGCACCTTGCACCCTGACTGTTAACTATATCATGACCAGAACAAATATGGTGGTGCTCAGTGAGGCCAGTTTTGCTGCACTAGTATGGCTTCCCCACCCTCCAGAGCAACACAAAAACATTAAAAACCCAGAGCTGTTCTATGAAACAACCTATACCTTTCCCAACTGACTCTAGGTTTCATTTTCCAATAAGAGCAGCAATTAGCTCCTGGTGAGCTTTGGTACCATGCCATGTCCTGATTTCCTTACCCTTCTTTCTTTCTCCAGCAAGCCGCTGTCCTGCAAATGACATTTCTTTAGGGGATGTTTAGTGAAAGGGGTAAGAGTAAAAGTGACGGGGGTTTGGGGTGGTTCCGAGGGGAGCTGGAGGATGAGTTGGAGGCCATGTAATTGTTTGTGCTAACATAGGTGAGCTGGAAGGACCCTGGGCTTGCATAATGATGATTTAAAAATAATCTTTTTGCATTTGGAGATGAATCAGACAAACCAGTAAGGCCACTTGAGAAAGTAATTCTCAAAACCAAGAAGCAGGAAGCCCTAGGCTGCATGGCCTCACCATCTGCTCTCGTATTAGTATATTCTAATTGGTCCTACAGGCACAAAAACACCCACTAAAAAGCATAACAGGCTGCAACAGCATGACTTGACTATAAAAAGTGATAGGATTCCTTGTCCTCGTCCTCTGCTAAAAAGCTGAGAACGCCACACTGACTGGTGAGGGTACCCCAATCTGATCCCCATCCAAGCCCACTAGGCATGGGTGAGGCCAGTGCCCCCACTATCTTACTCCTCACACCACCTCGCTCTCACTCGAGATGGCCCTGATTATTTGGGCATGGTTGCACTTTGCACAATTCTGAAAATAAGCTGAAAGCACCTATCCCCTAGCACTACAACCAGAACCTAACCCATTTGCATGCTCAATCACATTTTGCCAGTGCCCCTCTAAAGCTCCCATGGATGCCTACCTCCCACTTGCATCCCAGAATAAGTGCCAATAACTGAAAATACACTTTTGGTCCAACAACAACCTTAAAATTTATCACAATTAAATGAATGCATATTTACATTGAACAATTATGTGTAAAAAAAGAGGACCACTTACTTTTTTTTGAAGGTGCACCTATTCTTTGTTGTCTCCTACAATACAAAATAAAATAAATCTGTTTTTTTTTCTTTTAAATCTGAGCTCTACTTGTACATTGGTAACTAACAGACTCCTTTGATTGTAAAGCAATAAGAAGTATATCAGCCTAACTCATGGGTTTGGCTTGTATTTTGGAATTGCTGCCCTGCCTTGGGGCAGTCCAAAGGTACACTAACCAAGTGCCAGCTCTGGGAAGCATTGTGTGTCAGACATAATGCCTCTCAGAGCTCCATATCACACAGACACAATGTGACTATTGTGACACCCTTTCAGAGAAAGTAGCATGTGTTCTCATCTGCACTGGCCAGCTCTGCGGTTTCCTCCCCACCTAATCACTAACCTCATCAGTACTCAAGTACTGTGATTGTTCCTGGCTCTTACATGGGGTCAGTATAGGTTGGGGTGTCTTTCTAATGGAAATTATTTATATATTTCCACCATACTGACATTTTGGCTTTTTACATCAAATACCATTTTATTTATCTTCTTCGAGACAGTGGCAACCAAAGGCCAAAAAAATGTGTAGCATGATTTTTAGTCATCTCTTGCTTGCATACTTCAGTAATTGAGGACACTAATAATAGCAACCCACACATCTTAGCTCTGAGGGTGCAATTCACACCTGCACTGATCATGCACTACTGCATCCTACGCATCTTCCAACTGGCCAATATTACTCAACGAATTACCCCAGTCTTGTGACCAAATAATATGATGTTTATACAGTTGCTTTCATCCCCAAAGATCATGAAGTGCTTTACTGACAGTACAAAGTACAGGATCAAGCTCCCAACACACAAAGGTGTCTTCTGTGAGGTGCCATGCAGCACTCATTCTGTGCCTACAACACTGTACAACAGTTCTTAGGAGGGGAAGTAAAGCAATAATTTCTTCATTTGAAACTTCAGCAGGAATTGTAGGCAGAATATATTTATTCAAATTGAAATCTGGCCAGGACACCGGAATTAACATCCCTACCCTTGCAAAGAGTGCCATACCATCTTTTTTCCAATGAAATTAAGAGGTCAGAACTTTAGTTTCAATTTAGTGCCCCAACCAAAAGCCAGCACTTCAGGCTAAGCAGTGACATAAAGTACCATACAACTAGTATATATTGATTCAATGCCCGTTTAAAACCAAAACCAAAAAATGCCACATATTGAACTATCACCATTAAACTTTTTGCAGCATCTATTTTTGAATTCTGAATTAGAAGAAAAGCGAGTAATAACTGGAAATTAAAATAGTATGATAAAATGCTCCATGAAGGCCAAGTACATTTTAGGGTGGAAAGGATTAATACAATAGCTATTTCAATGAAACAACATATGGAGACAAAAATTATAAAATGTTTATTGTAATCATGAATTGCATCAAGGAGATACTCCTTCAACATATGAAGAAGGAAAAAAGTGTTGCAAACATTTTAAAGAACATTGAGATTGTAACATTTCATACCATGGAGTGACCAGGTGGGCTTGATGAAGGAAGCTGAACCTGGGAAACTAATCATATTCCATACATGACAGGAGTTAATTTACTCTCAGCCAGGTTTCTTTGGTGGCATTGTATCTGAAACAGTCACTCAGGTTCCTCTTAAGTTGAATAATAAAAATGTAATGCTATTTTATTGTTAGGAGTAGAAATACTTGTTACTTATGACATGACAAAGGATAATGGGGGAGCAAGGAAAGCTGAGGGAAACAGGCTAAGGACCACTATCACTGACAAGGAAGTTTCCTGCAGTAGGGAGAGCGGAAGCTAGCTACAGCCTCCGTCGAAACACCAAATTTTGAAAAGAAATTTGAATATTCAAGGTGCCTAAAGCATGTCAGAGAATGGAGAAGTATAGCTCTCTTAATATCTAGGCTGTCACTACTGTAAACCAAGAGGGACACTCCTTGCAAACCGGATGACTAATAAGAGACCAATGAATCTAGACCAGGGGTCGGCAACGTTCGGCACGCGGCTCACCAGGGTAAGCACCCTGGAGGGCCGGGCCAGTTTTATTTACCTGCTGACGCGGCAGGTTCGGCCGATCGCGGGCCCCACTGGCCGTGGTTCGCCATCCTGGGCCAATGGGGGCGGCGAGAAGCCGCTGCCAGCACATCGCTCGCCCACGCCGCTTCCCGCCGCCCCCATTGGCCCGGGACAGCGAACCATGGCCAGCGGGGGGCACGATCGGCCGAACCTGCCGCGGCCGCAGGTAAATAAAACTGGCCCGGCCCGCCAGGGAGCTTACTCTGGCGCGCCGCGTGCCGGATGCAGC